GTGCATTAATGTTTTGGTCTCTTATTGACTTGGATGAGATTCACTGGGATGCTCATATTTTCAAGTGAATGTTTCAGTGTAAAAACGAAGAGCAGAATGAGTGTAACTCTGGTCGGAGCAGATGGTACTGTGATGTCCAAAGAGCTGAGCTCAGCTATAGTGTCTAACCCTTTTATGAACAGTCTATGGTCTAACCCAGCTGAGAGACAGGACTGGAGGGACTGTGGACGTCAAACATCATGGAGCAGCCGGACTGAACTGCACAGTTCTTCGGGCATGAGGACATTTAGACGAATCGAGAAGGTTTCTAAAAATGTTCTCCAGTAACTGATTATGTTAAGACTGACTAAGTTGCAATTCTATTTTTATATTCTCAGTTAATATGTAAAACCTTTCAAAAGGAACTTTGCACACTTTACTTTGGTCTGTCAGCAGGGGCGTAACAACAGGGTGACCTCATTAAATTCAGGATCGACTGCGTACAGGAGACTATACAGAGCTTTTCCTACTCTTACTGATCATTCAAATCACTTTACACTAAAAGTCACAGTCACTCATTCACACGTGTTTACTATCACATACCAGTCACACACTGCCGGCACTCAAGGGTAATTAGAGGTTCCGTATCTCTGCATTCTGAAGTGGAGGAACTGGGGATCAAACCACAGCCACCCTTTATTTTAATATTGATACTAAAAGAATTGGTAGGATGTGGTTTCATGTGTTTAAGAGCTTTGACTAGAAAGATCTTAGAGCAGCTCAATTGGAAACAATTTCAAATTCACAAAGTGTAATTTTTATATTTGATTTCTCACTAACTGTCTCTGTTAATGTAAAGATGAGGACAAGTGCACTTGTTGTGACATCGTTCAGACAGTCCTGGACTGTGGCGTCTCTGTCTCTTCAGCCGTCCTCTGAACAATCAGTCTTGAAATCAGTAAGATTAAGCATATTGTCTATTGATTGGCTCCTAAATTGCTGTGCAATACAAGGCAAATAATCCCATTTCAAGTTTCAACACTTGTTTCTAATGGTTTCCAAATCATTCCAGGCAGGAATGGATCACAATTAGTTTAGTGTTTAGCAGCCGGGCGTGGCCATGCATGCAAGAGTGTGATTCTGGGTTTAACAGTGGCTGCCTGCGCTGCACTTGACACTTCCATTCTCAGGACACTGTCCATTGCTCTGCCTGCAGGGCTTTTCTACTTTCAGGGACATGCAGAAGCTGAGAAGAGATTCAGTCTCTGCTGCAGAGTGTGCATTTAATAGTTTTTTCTCAGACACAGAAGTGCCAACAAAAAGAAACTCCACATTTCCCTTTCCCAACAAGGACATGAGGTTTGGCGTTTGACAATAGTGATACGAACTTGGTCAGATGTGGCCACATTAGAGAGAAATAGGAAAATGATCAAACCCATGTTTCAACATGATTTGGTTCATTTGTATCATATTTCATTAAAAAAATAACCATGCTGAACATTTGATCTGATAAATCACATCATCCATCATGTTGAATGTCTGCTGCTGCAGTGAGGCTAAGAGTCATGTCTAGCACAACCATCTATGAAACAAATGCAGACCCTGGAGCCCAGAGCTGGACGTGACAAAAGTGGGGTGCTCCCATGTTTGATCACTTGTAGTAAAGACTTTGTTTTCTTATCCACTGTCTTCTTTACTCTGTTCAACACAGATCATACACAAAACCTACGGTTAGAAATCTGACTTCATTGATTATCTGTGAGGTATAAATGCTCCACTTAGGGACAGCTTATTAGGAACCCTGAGTTACTACAGAACAAGGTTCTTCTGTTAATGTGCTCCCTCTTTCTTTCTCTGTATTACCTACTCATATGAAGGATTTTGTGTTTCACAATCAGAATCAGGGTTTTTGACAAGTAGGTTTACACATATAAGGAATTTGTTGTTGTGTGTTTGTGCAAGTATAAATATAAAACAAATATATATATATATATATATATATAGAAATATAGGAAACAAAATTAAATATACACATATTATAAACACCAGGGAAGGGATGTGCAATATGTTGTGAATAAACACTAGAGAATGGATTGTGAAAAGTACAGTTACTCTGTTATTGGCGACGGGAAGTTGTGTCACAGGCGAGGACATGAGTGCAGCACAGTGACTTATTGATGAGCCCGGCAGCAGCTGGGAAAAAACCCTGTTTTTGTGGCTTTTGGTCGTGATGACCCGCAGCCTCCTGCCACTTTCCTCTAGCAAATAAATGTCAACTCTTCTACAATGGAAATTTAGGGTCTAGAAAACAATTCATTGTAGATTGTTCGCAGGGCTTTGATATGATATCTTAATAACTTTACCCTCCTTTTCTCTATTTATCATCATCATCATTAACATACTTATCCAGTTTATTTCCTCTGAACTCAATCATACAGACTCCTGCTCATTCACTGCATTCCTCCAAGGAACGTCATCTGTTGTTGCCATCCCTGCACACAAGACAATCACAGTCCAGACTGTTCATGTTTGTTGTTCCTCGGTGGTGGAGCAAGCTACCAAATGCTATCAGAGCAGCGACGTCCCTCTCTATCTATCTGACTCATCACACCACTACGCCTTGACACGCCTCACTAGTACTTACTGTGCATTTCTTCCCATGATCTCCTGCCCTTTTGTGGTAATTTACAGATTTGGCTCTTAGTTCTTACTTCATGCTCTCCCAATGTAATGAAGCATTACTGTTATCCCTCAATTGTAAGTTGCTTTTGTTAAAAAAAAAAAATGTAAATGTAAATACAATTACATTAATTAATTTGTAGAAGCTCATATTTACCATCTCCCCACTGACATTGAATGCAACAAGTGTAAGTGAATGTACGTGTTGTAAAAAGGCAGCGAGCAGTGTGTGTATTATTGTCACATTTCTGACAAATTTTTAGATGTGAATCAGATTTTTTCTTTTTAATCTTCATAGCCTCAAAATGTTTGAATTTCAAGTTGTTTCTGAAGGTCTCTTTTAAAGCTGTATTCACTTGAAATACAAAAATATAAATAAAGAAAATTACATGTAGTTTTTCAGCCAATAGCTGTTCACAGCTCCTAACATTTGACAATCTGTCTACAATGAGAAGAAATGCCTGTATGGTCACAGAACAAAACAACCAGTGGAACTTTAAATCTATTCAGATGGGACTGGGTCATGATTCACTCTTTAGAAACCTGACTGACAATGGCTCTGATTAATGAACACGATAGCTTGTGATTAATTTCCAATGCGTTCATTAGAGAGCGGCTTCACGTTCCAACTGATGACACTGAAATAAATGGAGACCGTATTTCAAGTGATGATGGCGCCTCAGTTCAACACATTGAAGAATCTGTGGGTGTTTATTAACTGCTGTGTAATTACACCGAATAAAAGGTGCTTTATGCTTTAATCCTGAGCCTCAACTCGTGCTTCCAACTCATTGCCCGAATCAGCACAGACCACAGCAACTATACGTTACACAAAAGGTTTAACTACACACTCTTTGGTTTGACCTGGGAGTATTATCATATGTCACCAGAAAAAACAATTGTATGGCATTGTATGTGTCTAAAAATATAATTTCAGACTGTATAATTTGTTAGTATTGGTATTAATAAATGTTTGATCATACAGACACAAAATTCATTCATATGAATAATTAAGATATTTTAAGCCTGCATTTAAATTGACACTAAGAAATCTGCATTCATGAAATACATTTTTGTAATTATATTTGTGTTTTTCTGCAAAGCAATGTGATGGGAACTATTGTTCAATAAATAAAAATATATTAAAACATTTAATTTAATTATAATATTTATAAAAATACTCCGTATCAGTCGTTTGAAAATACAACTATTGGCAGCTTATTCTGAAGTTTTGTCAACAATCCTTCAGATATAAATAGAAAACAGAACTTTCTAAAGTCATAATCCTCCTAATAAAGACTAACATAGTGTTCAGAGCCACATTAAAAGAGCAGCTAACTGACAGCACAGTAGTTCTGTGCTTTAATGTGAAGGTTTTACCTGCATGGAGCAGGTTATGGATGCATTGTGAAAAATTACTGCAGTAATGTTAAAACACACCTGAGGCTCTTCCTGCATTTCACAAGCCAAGAGTCGTGACACATGAAAAAGTGAAAGTATTTATTACAACTTTGTTCCCACTTGTTCCATAATGAACACAGCTGGCAAAAAAACATTTCTCTTTCACTTTCTCTATAACAAAATAATATGATGCAGCCGAGACACCCAAACACACAGTGCAATGACTCTGGTATGAATCAGCGTCTGATTGGGGACCAGATTCCACATTTTGGCCAATTATCAGTGATTCATCATTAAATGTGGCCATTAAACTGAACTTTTTACTTTTATTAAAAAAAAAGAAAGATATCTGGTTAATTACTGCTGCCTGGCATACAGCAACGCAGTGCCCACTATGGCTGGAGAGGAAACACTAACACACCACCAGAAAGTTTTTCGTTTTAATTTACATCAGTGGTTTCCGTCAATAGATAAGTGTTTGTGTGCGTGTGTGTTCTAAACTAAACCAATGATCCAATTTGGTTCTGAAATAAAAAAAACAGAAGCTGAACAGCAGCCAGAGTCAGGCACCTCCTGTACGATGCTTCCTGACTGCAGCTGCTCCGAGTCAATGTATGGTTGTAATCCTAATCCGAATGCAGTGTTTTGATCAGATTCCACACCATGTGCATGAATGAATTTATTACAATGTCAGATGTCTATGGCGTGGCGCTGAATTTATTCAGTGGCTCCGCACCCACCTCCATCCACTCCGACGTTTTAGTCTCAAATGTGACGATTAAAATGCGGTTTTCCAATGCTGTTTGTGCCGTGAGGTGAATACAAAGATGCTCAGCCCCTGCACGTCTGCAGTGTTGTGACATGAAAATGGTCGTATGAGGAATGCAAACATCTGTGGGTGAGTGAAGTTTATAAAAATGCATAGAAAAGGTGTCGAGAACTTTTGGTGTCAAATTATTTATTAGGCAGAAACACAACATTAAAGCTTGAATGCAGTTCACAGGTTAGATGACAGTAGCTGCTGCATGTGTCTGTGGATCCATCCATACCACTACATTTCCATTTGAAAACAACCTCTGTCCACACAAGCAGTTTTAATCCCCGTCCATGTGAACCAACGCATATCACACACAACAGGGTCAGCTTGTATTGCAGCATTTCCAAACTGTTCCGTGTAGCGGATCGAAAACTCTGGAGTAGTGTGGACGGATCAGCAGCAGAGTTGATGTGTTTTCAAATGAAGACGTAGTGGTATGGATGAAGCCTGTGGGTCAGGATGTCAGCCTCCGTACATCTACCTGCATCAGATGTGATCCAACAGTTTTACATGACAGTAATAACAGATGACCACACTGGTCACCCTCATCTGTGAACCCAGAGACACGTGACTAATCAGTGAACTACAGTCTTATGACTGAGCCTCAGAGCTCCAGTCCGAGATGGAGAAGGTCTTGCTCTGCCTCTTCTCTGCTCCTAAAGTGTAGTCCACGTGGATGCATATGTGTCTGGAACTTTCCTCCGAGGGATACATGCGGACCTCTCCTGCCACCACCGTGTCCTGCACCACCTCCACCGGAGCGTCCAGGTACAGCACCGCCTGCTTCCAGTGCGTCTCCGGCATGAACGGGGACGTGGAGAGCACCAGCGCCGGCGGCTTGTTGTCCTGACACGGGAAGGTCACCGTGAAGTACACGCAGAAGGCGCCCACCGACGCCGAGCCGAACGACTCGCACCTGAACTGGCCCCGCACCGACCGCAGCTCCTCCGCGGTCACTGAGTGCAGGTCGAGCTCGGCGAAGCGCGCCGGGTGCGAGAGCACGTCCTGCCCCGACACCGTGTTCATCGTTATCTCAGAGTTCATGATGCACCTCTGGGCGAATTCGCTCATGCAGGACATGTCCACGCCGTACTGCTCTTCGACCGTGTACCAGAAGTTTAGCCGGTCCTCCACCACCGGATCGCTGACCGGTGCGATGTACAGCTCGGCTCTGCTCGGCAGGATGAGGCCGCCGGGCTTCAGCCACTTGTCCCGCGCGTACAGCACCGAGTTGAGCATGGACTCGTGGAGGAGAGCGTAGCCCATCCACTCGCTCACGATCACATCCACCGGCTCCGGCAGCTCCACCGTCTCCACGGTACCCCGGATCACCTCCACGCGGTCCTGCAGGTTGTTTTGGCGGACTATCCTCGCAGCCTGCTCGGCGATGGAGCACGCCTCCACTGCGAACACCTTCTTGGCTCCGGCCTGTGCGCAGAAGATGCTCAAAACGCCGGTTCCCGCACCGACGTCCAGCACAACCTTCCCCCGGATCAGCTCGCTGTTCCTCTGGATCGCTGTCCGGTACGTGTTGGTCCGCTGGTAGTCGGCGATCATCTCCTCGTGGATGGTCACATCTGTGTAGCTGTCGAAGTAAAGACGGTCCTGGCGGCTTTTGTCCAATTTTCTCTTCTTCACGACATGAGACATCTTCTCCACGAAGCCGCTAACTCCTGCTCTGTTTAGTTCCGCTACTTCCGTACGCATGAACCTGGGATTTGTAGTTTAACGTGGCCAACAACACGAGAGAAACGCGTTATAAAAGACTACAAATCCCACAAACAAAGAACAGTGACGCAGGGGTTCAGCTGCTGCGTTCAATGTCAGGGGGAATGTAGTAAATATGAGCTCTTACTAATTGCAGTACATTTACTCATTAATCAAACTATTTTTTTCCAAAACAACTCACAACCGACAGACTTCAGTACAGCAGGAGGGCTTGACATATAAATCAACTGTTCAATAAGACAAAGTGCAGTCAAACCTAGCTGCTAAGTTATGAAAGTGTGGTGCATTCACTTCAGTACACACATCTGCTCTGGTTTTCTGAATGAAAAACAATGTTTTCAGTTTTCTTTCTGGTAAATACAATTGTGATGTTTTGTCCTGATTTGAAAAGATTTTCACAAGAGTTCAATATAAAGGTGCAAACTCAGAAGTCTCTCTGTGGACAAACTTTAGTGGCTCTAATTCTATTCTGGTGATCATGGGTGGTCAGTGAAGGGAGGTCTGCCATAGGTAAGTAGTAGATAACTATGTCTTGTATCAAGAGCGAGGTGACATACTGAGCCAGGTAAGGCCTGATCTTTCTTATGTTGTATAAAGTTAAGCAACACAACTCTGAGACGGATGAAATATGATCAGAGGACAGCTGGTCACCAAACATCTCACCCAGGTTTCCCGTGACCTTTGTGGGTGTAAGAGATAAAGAGGTGATTTTGATGTTGAGCTGTTGAGAATGACTTGCAGAGATGACTTAGAGTTCAGTCTTAAGAGGTTTTACTTGAAGGAGGTGTTCTTTATGTGGATGTGTCAGAGAGAAGGGCATGGGGTCATCTGGCAGGAGCAAAAGGTTTAATTGAATATCATCTGCAAAGAAGTGATATGAGAAGACAGCATTGGAACCAAGGAAGTGGTGTATATTGCAATGTATGATGGGAAACACCTGGCTTGAACCTTATATCAGAGCCACATGTAAAAACCTTTAAAACTACCTCCCATTTTTAAAAATTAGAAAGTGTCTTAATGTCAGTTGACTGAAAATGTCATATATATACTTGATAAATTAAAGATGGACTTTACCAATATTTACTGTTATTATGTTGTTTCATACCAGGACAAGGCTGTGGACAGATTGTACAATATCAGACGATTTGTTGGATCTTTGATTATAAATAATACATTTCAGTATCGAACAGTTTAATTCACTCCGATGGTTCATAATGTTACTTGTAGCGTGTCATCGTGTATAAATGTCTAAATGGTACCAGTCTATAAACAGGTGTTATACTGGAGATTAACAGAGGAGCAATACAGTTTCAATTCAAAGATCAGGGTGCCTTTGGGATTTAAAATGTTTGGACCATCTTATGAGAAAAAAATAATATACAGAAATGGCAAGAGTGGGAGTGGTTGAAACATATTGAACACTGTGTGCTATCTTAATTCAGGTCAGGCCACAACCACAGTAGAAATAAGTTATTTCAGTGTTTCTATCCTGTGTCATGCTCCACTTCTAACCAGAGCACTTTGTTTCCTTCATTTGCTGCTTGTGGATTGTTTAATCACCTCTGTTGTACATGTGGACATTTTTCACACTGTATTATTTTTCTCTCAGTTTCCTTTTTTTAAGTGTTTGGACAAATGTGTCATGTGAGGGTAATTTACGACAAATCAAACCCAAACCAATTAGTGAGTTGTGACAGAAATGGCGTTGCTGGATTTTCACATCATAATAAATGGAGCTCTTGCTAATTCGGATTTTCTATTGGAGAATCAAGTCACACATGATGTCGTCATGAGCAAAATATTAGACACAGTGCAAATCAGATAGTGCAGTTTTGTGTTTGAGAACAACAAAGGCTTACACTGGAATTTGACAGTACAGATACAATATTTCTATGGAATTATTATTATATTATTTAGAATTGAGACATTGATGAAATGTTCCAAAACAGAAATAAACAGATGTCTTATCATGATTTCTCATTTGATTGTACTGCAACAATGTGGTATAAAATAGATGTAACATGAATCAAATTGAAATCAGCTGGGTTTTGTACTTTTAGCTCTAATGTGTCTCTGACCTGTGCTAAATAACTTTCACAGTAAGTTTTCCATTTTCACTAAACCCTCTGTACTCTGTTCTGTAACACTTGAGAGTTTCCTAAGAAACCTTGAAAGTTTTTTTTTTCTTTCTTTCTTTAATATCAGGGTGGTTAAGGTGCCATTTACCTTTTCAATCTGTTACCCATTATAAATGCTAAGAAATCATAAAGTACATCTGTTAAACCACTGACCTCACAAGCCTTCATATAACTGCTCTGTACAAAAACCCTGAGGCTACATCCATATAATTTACTTTGGTTTGAAAACACTCACAACTGCTTGCTGATTGGATCTTTTCAGTCCCGATGAAACCTTCGCTATTTCGTCAGGCTCTTATCACATGACCCTCTTCAGGAAGAAAACAGCCGGCATGAGCCTCGACTACCATCAATTACAAGCAGTGACACACTTCTCCATGATGTTACAAACTGTTTCTTCTAATTAATGTTGTGAATACTGTTATTTTGTTGATGTGTTCAGTCACACGCGGCATCTATTGCACTTCTGTCGTCCTGGGGGAGGGATCCCTCACTCTGTACTCTGAGGTTTCCAAGTTGTTTGACCAGTTACCTTCAGGCAGACGTTACAGAGCCTGTAAATGTAAAACCAAGCGCCTGAAGCTCTCATTCATCCAAACATCTATCACACCACACACTAAGGAAACATCTTCGGCCATGTATCTCAATAACCTCTGCACACACAGTTTGGTTTTTAAGTTTTAATGCCAGTTTTGGTTTTTCATCTTTTATGAGTTATATCTGTTTAGTGTTTTATCATTTTAAGTGCTTTTATTTTTCTGGGTCTGACATGATATGTCATTGTGTACTGTTATTTTGTCGTATTCTGCTGTAAAATATACTGCTCTGCAGCTGCTGTAGCACTTTGGCCCTAGACAAATCTCCCCTATGGGACAATAAAGTATATTTAACTTGATTTGCTTTGAATAGAGTTTCTCTGGTAGTTTTCTCTCACTCTTGTTGAGGGTTAAGAACAGAGTTTGTCGCACCTCGTTAAACCCTATGAGACAAATTGTGATTTGTGAATATGGGCTACACACAATGAATTTGATTGATTGATGCCTTGCTAATAGCTTTTGTACAGTTTCATTCTGCAGTGATACAACTGCTTATATGTGAACTATTATTCAAGCAATCTGTTTACCCTGGCACAAGCATGCCCAGTATACGTGAGTAGTCACATGATGACGTACAAGATTAAAGCTTTTAGTTGTTACCTGTTACTATTTGCACTTGGTTAAGAGCAAACTGGTTTCTTGTTTATAGCACTGTGAAAAATTAAGGTCACAGAAACCAACATGATCAGATAATTGGTATGAAAACAGGATATAAAGGGTTTTACATTTTAAGTACAATTGGTGAGAAATTCACAGAATTTGCAGAATTTCTGGTTGTAATGATCTATTAGCACCTCTACAGCTGATCCATCTTTCCTCAAGTTATGGCAGGCAGAACACAGCTGCTTGTGGCTCTGCTCCCTCTCTTGTGGACAGTCCTGTGGGAGCCTCTCCACTCTGTTTCAGAGATGTTTGGCAGCAGATACTGGACAAATGAGCAGGAGCTACATTCCATTTATGAGGGTGAAAAAAGAGAAGAGGCAGTGGTCTGAGGGGAGAAATACAACAAGAGGCAGGGGTGGTTTGCAAGGCAGAAGGAAGTAGGGGTGCAGAGAGTGATGCAGCACTCCCTGTCAAATGGTAAAGCACCTGCACACTCAAAACTATAACTAAAAATTAAATTTTTTATAAAGTTTAATTTGATTACTTTTGGTTATGTGAATATCCCAATAATACTTTGACGCTGCATGTGATTAATAGTGGATCTGGTCAATTTTTCCTCATGACAGCATTGCTGTAACCAGTCACACAGCAGCACAAGAAAACAGCAGCGCAATTCATCAAAAGATCCAGCGTGTTGGAATCAACAACTGACAGCAGCAACGCCTGCAGCACATACAAATTCTCATTCAACGTTTTCAGACACGAACTCCGAAGAATGAGTGCAAAATGGGATCCGGGAAGCAGGACGTTCTACTCTCCAACGCATTCTCAACAACACAAATCTCCGCAGGTGAGGGGTGGTGCAGCAGGCAGAGGCAGGACGTAACCCTAATGCATACATTCTGCTGTGGAGATCACATGTTTTTGTTTACAGTATATCAACATTGGCTCTTTCACCAAAGGTTCTCTTGACATCGTTGTCTGTGTTTTCTACATGTGTGACTCTGCTTTTTCATCTTGATATGAGCTTATTCAGACATTCTCCTGAGGTTTTACCTGGGGCCTGGCCAGAGAAACGGTGTTCTTGCATACATCCCCTCCGAAGAATGCTGGGAGATTATCCAGAGTTCAAGTGCATGTCTGAGAGCAGCTATAGAGCTAACGTCAATTAAGCTAGAGGGGAGGAGGAAGCTCAACAGCAACCAAGTGCAGCCAGAAGAGGAGGAGGCTAACTTTCAAAACAAGGGTTTGTGGTGGGTATGTGTGCATGCACATTTACATGCTTCTTCTAAATTTGTATCTAAAGCACGCCACTCCTGGGAAAGTGTACATTCATTTAATTATTCGTTCTTTTCATACTATACAAGGAACAAAGCAGGAAATAATTTCGCATGAGCTGGAACGTTTCCAGTCTCAGCGATGGAACTAGCAACCATCAAGGGAAAATGAGTCATTCCTTTGTAGTAGTAAACACTGACTTTACATTCAAAGCTGCGGTTTTCCCTTCTGGATATGTTTTATTTATGTTGAACCGAGAAACACAATGAAACCAAACATTATCTAAAAGATGTGGTGTAATCCATCCAAATATCAAAGCTGGCCACCCACGAGCATTTGGTCAGAAGCAAAAATTGGATGAAGAGTAAAGGAGGGATAGGAATCTACAAAAAGATAGAAGACCTGAATGTGAAACGCAGGCTGGGGGATTCAAATTGTGATTCCACGCACTTTGAGGGACTGCAGGCGTTGTTGTAGCTGC